CTTAAATCTTTCCCCTCTCACCTTAAACCTATGCCCTCTAGTTTTGGACTCCCCTACCTTGGGGAAAAGACCTTGGCTATTCACTCTAGCCATGTCCCTCATGATTTTATAAGCTTATACATGGTCACGCCTCAGCCTCTGCACTCCAGGGAAATTAGCCCCAGTTTATTCACCTCCATTGTTGATATTGACTGCAGGGTCTTGGAGTATTGGACCAGATATCCATTGATACAAGGACTGTGTCTTCTTCAAAATTATGGTCAGGCCAAAGTGTTCTGAGGTGTGGGCTAAACAATCAACTAGCAACTGAATGCCTCCAGAGTACATGCTGTGAGAGTGCAATAAACTGTGAACAAGCGTTCACTTAGTAGTGCGATGTAGACTGTGAGTTTTATACATTTATGTTATAATTTATTTAAGCTTGAACTTTTGACTTTTGAATTATTGACTTTCTTTTGACTGTGTGCCTTCAGAATTCAATGATTACTTGGAGATTTCATTATTATTATTGCTGTAGCCATGGTGACTTCTATTAGAAATGCTTGAGAGAGTTAGCTTTCAGAATTAATGATTTTTGCATTGGGAAAGTTTATGACTGAGCAAAACAAACAATTATGCATCACGGTTTCTGTTAGAAACTTCAGGAACCTTTTGTTAAGTTTAAGCTTATCTATTACTTGGAAAATGCTTTTTTTATATTTTCAGTTTTTGGCACAGTTCTGCTGAAGTCCTTGGTTGAAGATGGATGAATAAAGCTATGATCTCGAGAAGGGAGAAGTTTGTAGAAATTAGTCACGTTAGAGTACGGAATTTAGTGATAGTTTAAGAAGTGTTTGGATAAAGCCTGAAGAGATCACTTGAAGCTGAGAATGTTTAAATTTAGCTGTTTGAACACGCCAGGAAAAGGCTATTCTAATTTCAGACTGGGAGTTGAAATCACATTTAATTTAAGTCTATTGAACAGTTAGAAAAAAGTATATTGTTTTCTGGTATGAATACTGTACCCTTTGGATACTGTGCGGGGATGTTATAGCATCTGTAAATGAGTTTAGTTTTGAATTAATAGGAGTATATGTTACTCTGTGGTTAAAATAGCTTTACATTTATCTAATTAATAAGTAGTGCTCATTCATTTACGTTGCTTAATAGCCATCTGTTTCATCGTTAAAATCTAATCTCTAATATTGTATGTCAGTGAGAGACCACCTCCTTAAAACCAAACCAAAACAAAATATGATCTACAAGATCCGAGTTCTGACTTGTCCAGTAAATACCATAGTTGGGAGCAACCAAAAGGGAAACCTTTGTACAAGATCTTGAGTCTCTGTAAGTTGAAGAAATTGTCAACTGAATTGAATTTGTAACACCTCATGTCAAGATTGTTGTATATGGTCTGGAAGGGTTAGTACTGGATTGAATGTAGCAATCACCATCCATTGTGATGATATCATGAGGATTTGATGAGAGAGATTAGGTAGAATATTGTGAATGACAAACCCAAGGCTAGGTCTTTACAACAAGCTTTGGACTAATATGGCACATATTATAACTTGTAGATTGTTGCAGAGATGCAGTAGGCTACATCTTGGTTATCCTATAAGACTGTTTTCGTTAGACCAGAGAGTGGATATCCTTGCAGACACTAAACCACCTAAGCCCCAAAGAACCTACTCAGTTCGAAGAAGTGAATGATAACACGCACAACATGGCGACCAGTGTGGGATCTGAAGTAGCAAGAGTAACAAAGTAAGCATGCTGTTAATGAGAAGACTTGTAGGAAAACTGATATTGCTGATTGCTGTGGACAGAATCACCTTTCCCCCCCCAAAAGAAACAACTAAAACACTCAACACTGAAGAATATCTCAAACAATGGCACAGAAAGCATTTTAGGTTCGACAAGAGAAGCAATGGAACAGAAGAAATCTGCAGCTCCAAGACAGATTAATGGATATATTTCAAAGAGGTGGTCTGTGGGAGCGGTCCCAGGTCCGAGTTTAGATGGTGAGCAAATAGTCATGTGTCAAAACTAAGATGCTATGATGCAAAGGGAAAACCTTAAATAGTACAGCAATTCGGACTGAAAGGGTGAGAAAAGTACAAGTTAAAAAAAATACGCATTGTCACCACAGCATGAGAAAACCATAAGGCATGGATAGGAAAGGAAGAAACCGAATAAACATAGCCAAGAGAGAGAAAAGCTCATTTAACCCAAGACTGGGGCTGGGGAAATCATGAACCCGGTTATTTAAAACAAATAAGCCTTGGTCAAGTTAATCAAATCTGGTTTAACTTTGAATTTTCTTTTGGGAGATTCTAATACATTGTGAATGGTAAGAAATCTACCATTACATCCAAAAAGCAGGAAGTCCTCCATTGGAGTTGCAAAATGTGGGAAAACTGACATTACAACTATGAAAGGCAGGTATTCTCCATTACAGCTACAACAGTACAGGAACCCTCTATGGAAACCTCAAAAGAATATATGAGAAACCTCCAGAGCAGCAGCAAAACACAGGAAAACATGTATTTCTACAAAATTAAAAAAATCTATTAAGAAGATGGAATATACAGGAAACTATGGCATAGAAAAGTAGATATATTCATAGAATCCATAGATATTCATAGAAGCAAGCCATCCAGCCCATCGAGTCCACACAGAGCATCCCACCCAGACCCAACCTATCCCTGTAACCTTGCATTCCCCATGGCTAATCCACCTAGCCTGCATACCCCTGAACACTATGGGCAATTTAGCATGGCCAATCCACCTAACCTGCACATCTTTGGATGGTGGAAGGAAACCAGGGCACCTGGCAGAAACTTACACAGACACAGAGAAAATGTGCAAACTCCACATGAGCAGGAATCAACCCAGCGCTGTGAGGCAGCAGTGCTAACCGCTGAGCCATGAAACCATCATTGGATGAGCAGTAAATGCTAGGTCAACATTTATTGCCCATCCCTAACTGTTCTGGAGGAGGCGGTGGAGAGCCGCCTTTCTGAACTGCTGCAAGTTGGAGGTGCGGGGATAGTACCGTTTTTGACCCAGAAACAGTGAAGGAATAACAATAGAATTCCAAGTCAGGGCATTATGTGGCTTGGAGGGAACTTACAGGTCCTGCTGGGGAGTAAAAAAATCTAGCAAATGTCATTGTAATGACCATTCAAATCAGTTGTTAAATCTGAATCTGAGGTTGAGATTTGATGCAATGAAAAGGGGAATATTGTCTCATCAAAACCTTTGTACATATTCAACAGAAACACATTAGCTGTGATCACACAGTATGTGGAATGTACGTTTAGGATAATAGCTGTTTTTGTGTAGAAACATCTGTCAGTAATTTTGAAAAAAGTCTTTTGTTGCTAACTTATGCCGTTGTCTTGCGCCAATTAGAACACACTACTGTCTAAGAAATTAATGTTTTTACTCTGTGTTGTAATTTTGAGATTAATGGAAATTTGAGGACATATATGAATTCTTCTAATTCTGTTTCAGCATGTGTCCAAATCCCACACATGTGAACACAAATACAATAGATGCTTATTACAAATTGACTGCATCACCGAATAAATATATGAGTGAAAATGAAAAAGGACCTCCCGAAAACCAAAACATAGCACCTAGAAAACAACACATAGCACCTGAAAAACAAAAATAAACACTCAAGGAGACTCCTGGGGACAAAATATACTCTGACCATGAATCTGTCATTCCATACTTGAGATTACTTGCCAGTTACGTATCTATGAACATTGGGCACTTTGTCTGGGAGCTTTCCTATATCTTAGTTGTTGTTGTAAAACCAATGTTGATACTTTCTTTGGATGAATCCTAAGACTGTAACTTTAATAGAATCCTGATCTAGGACTCCTGAATCCCTTTGTGCTTCAGATTTCGAAAGCCTTCCCCATTTAAAAAATAGCCTACACCTATATTTCTCATGCCTCACACTTCCCACATTGCCACGGACTTACTGCTTATAGATTTCATCTGCTACATCTTTGCTCACTCTCCTAGCTTGTCCAGTCCTTCTGTATCCTCACTACTTCCTCAACACTACCTTTCCCTCCGCCTATCTTTATGTCATCTGCACACTTTGCAACAATGCCCTTGGTTCCTTCATTCAGATCGTTAATGTATAACATGAATAGTTGTGGTCCCAGCATGGACTCCTGTGGAACTCCACTAGTCACCGGCTGCCTTCCTGAAAAAGACTCTTTATCTCCACTCCCTGCCTCCTGCATGTCAGCCAATCCTGTATCCATGCCAGTACCTTGCCGGTATTTTATTTAGCAGCGTTCTCTGCGGCACCCCGTCAAAATGCTTTGGAAATCTAAATAGATCATGTCCACTGGCACTCCTTTGTCTAACTTGTTCATTACCTCCTCAAAGAATTTTAATAGATTTGTCAGACAAAGCAGTGCTGACTCCGCCCTGTTTTACCATGCTTTAAGTAACTTCTTTTAACTTTTTGCAATAAGTTTTCAATTTTTTTGTGTCCCAGTTCTTGTTTCATAGCCATTTCTTAAAGAACAATTATATCAATCTTACTTTGTGACTTGGCTTTGTCACAAAAACACAATTTATCTTCAAAGACGCTATGTCTGATGAGTTGCTGGTCAGACTAGCATTCTGCACGTCCCCAAAGGAGGCTACAGTCTATGTCTTTGAGATCTCTTGTCATGCAATAATATAGTCCCAACATGCCAGCGTATGGATGTCTTTTTCAGTTTGCTTGCTGCAAGGCTGTGTTTAGCACCATTAGATCAAACTCACTGCACATAGAGAGAAGAGGTAGAGGTTTGGAGTTTGTTCTTCCAATGCATGGTGTTCTAGCACCATGTCTACTTCGAGCAACATGTTTTTTTTTTATTTAACCTATTTTTCTAATCAACCTGTTCAGATATGTTATTACACACCTCTGGAGCAGGTGGGACTTGAATATGGGCCTCCCAGTGCAGGGTTAGGGAATTTACCACTGCCCCACAAGAGGGCCCAAAATATGGTTAGATGCCACTGAGTAGAATGCAATGCCTTAACCATTTGTGTGTTGTAAGGTCACTAGAACCCATTCCATCCTTATCACGGAGAGTGCTAACATTCTCTCCTTTCATACAACACATTCCTAACATTAAGAAGGGCCTCATTGAACTTCTAACAATTCTCCCAGATTTCTCACTGTTGCCAACGTCCTTCAGGCCCGTATAAAAACTGCCCTTTGACTCTACCTGCACGTGTCATTTGTGGGGCATACATGGTAATGAGAATTACCCACTGGCTACTAGCAAGACATAAATGAAAAACCCTTAAGTTAATCACTGATCTCTGTAGAAAATGAGTCAAGCTTGTATGCCAGCCCAGATTGAATGTCAAAGCCCATTCCTGACCGTCAGTGCTGCTCCTTCAACTTGTCAATCCAGTAGAATGTGTGGCCTGCACCATCCTCAACAATTTGAGAATCTTTGGCGAGCCTTGTTTCATTGAGGACTGACAACTCGATATTGTCCCTGCCCAGCCATGAGAGCTGTTCTGCATTACTGGTCTTGTATTGTTGAAGAACAAATCAGCCATTCTATGAACTTCACACAATGACTAATTGTTTTGGCCTGTACATTTCAACTGCAGAGAATGGATAGCCAGGCAGGAACAGTAAGCTGGGAGGTGCCTGGAGAACAGATTGCAATTAGTATTTCTTTTCCTCCACTTGCCATGATTGGAGACAGCAGTGCTGTAATCTAGAAGTTCTGCTCTGTCACCACAGGATTTTGGAGTTTTCCTTCTACCAGATGAGCAGCTGAGATGATTGAAAATCTTCATCTACTCTTGTCATGTGTAGACATCACTTGTGACCTTCCGCACTGTCAGCCACTATACATCTATCTGGTTAAGCCGTAGCTGGGCATTTTGAAATCAGAGTTACATTGTCCCAAGCAGACAGCCAAACAAGGTTTGCAAGCCTTACCAAAGCAGAGCTTCTTGGTTCAGGGGTGTCAAATACCCATCTTCACACCTCTGCACCAAAGAGATCGGCACATGAAGCTAGGTATTAGGAGATTGTTTAAGGAAGGCTATTTGGAATACAGAAGATATGGAAGTTTCGCATCTCAAGTTTCTTCATCATCCCGATCATTTCTACCCCTTTGAACTCTAGAAATGTGATAAAGTGCTGTGTAAACTTAATTTCACTTTGCAAGGTGCACAAAGAATTGGGAGAGAATGATATTTTTAAAGCTTGCTTTTTATTCATGGGATATGGGCCTTTTATTGCACACTGCCCTAATTGCCCTTGAAAAGATGATGGTGAGCCATGATCGATGGGGTTTAAGGACACTGTAGTACTGTTCAGAAGGGAGTTCCTGAATTTACAGCGACAAATTGCATTAAATTTCCAAGTCAGGATGCTTGGCTTAGAAGGGAACAGTGTGTGGAGGGGATCCTACTTAGCTGCTGACCTTTCCATTCTAGGCAAGGGTAGAGTTTACAAGGTTGGAACACACTGTTAAAGGGAGCTTGTGAGTTGCTAAGTGCACCTTGTACATGGCACACACCATTAGCACTGACTGTCAGTGGTGGAGGGAGTGAATGTTAGAGGTGACTTATAAAGTTGCCTTGTCCTGGGTAGTAAAGTATCACATGGGGTCAGAATAAACGGAATGCAGTTAGGTTAACTGTGCTTATATGGATGGCAAACAAGACTTTTCACTGTAATTTGGTACACATGGCAACAATAAATCAAATCAAATCAAATGCAAGGCTGCAATGCTTGGTCAAATTCAGTGAGCTGTCTGTGCAAATATCTATATGGGAGTATGATGTTATGCCAGTAACAAAGACTAGGCTTAAGAAAGGGAAGAACTGGGTACTAAATATTTCTGGGTTCCAAGTCGTCAGTAAAGATAAGAAAGGAAAGAAAAGAACATGGATAGCAGTATTGGTTCTGTCAAATGTTACATTGTTGCACAGAGAGGATGCCTTGGAGGGATCGAAGACAGGATTTATTTTGTTCGAGTTAAGAAATAACTATAATGGCATGACACTATATATTATCTAAACCACCAACCATATAATGGGGCAAATTTGAATGATGATGACAAAATGATGCTAAAACCACAGTGAGTAATAATGGGAAACTGCAATTATCCTAATGTAGACTGGCATAATAATGGTGTAAATGGTAGAGGGGGAAGAGAGTTTCTGAAGGGCAATTTGGGGCAATTTTCTACATTAGGATGTTTCTGATCCAAAGAAGTTCTGGTCGCGGGGAATGAACTGGGTCAACTTGATCAAGTGTCAGTATGGGCTCATTTTGAGGAAAGTGATCATTGTATCATAAGATTTAGGTTAGCCACAGAAAAGGAGAAGATACATTGGGTTGACTCTTAAATATTTTTAACTGAGTGCCGATTGCATTGAGTTTTTTGGAGGATTTTTCACTGTGAGATCTAGCAGGTTCTCTTGCCATATCTTACCAAACTCACCTCATTAACTACACCCCCTGTCCCTGTGATTCCAGACCTAGCTTACCATGTGTTGTTCCCAATATAACTCATCACTGCTGGGATATCCTGGAGGTGACTGTCAGTCATCTGGCTCCATCTTTAAAAACCCATTGCACACCCGGAAAAGCACTGTCAGTTCGGAGCTGCCCTGCATATTTGCACCATGCATGGCAAAGAAGACAAACTTGTTGCCCCTCTTTCAGGACAGGGACATGAAGATCTTGATGGATGGAGTGGTGCAAATGTGGGATTGCCTCTTTTCCCAGGACCAGAAGAGAGGCCATGCTGCCAGACCATGCTCACCTGGTCTGAGGTTGCCACTGACGTCAGTGAAGTCTCAGCCATCTGGAGGAATGGACAGCATTTTAGGAAGGTCATTGACTATCTTCACCTGAATAAGTCACACCATTCTCTCTCTGATACCTCACATTCATGTTCTACCACAAATTATTACTTGCAACATCTTCCCTGATTCGATCTCACCCACTCCAAACCCCATCACCACTAACCCTGCATGCCCCCTGTGTTGCCTTCTCACTTACTCAGGACATCTCCCCACTAGACTAAAAATAGCAGACGTGACAATCATTTTCATCTCCCTTAATACCCGCCCTTGTCTCATTCCATGAGGAGAACCAATATCTTTTTGGACTTACATGCTGAGGATTCTTGATATCTAGCTTGTTTGGTACATTTAGTAAGTCAGGATGCTGAATATCAATGAGGCAAGTCTGCTGTTATTAAGGCACTTAACAAACTATAATACTCTTTTGTTGGCAACCCATTGCTGCCTGGTAAGAAACTCACCTCACGCTCAGCAATTGTATAAAAGATTGAACAGGTTTCTCCTGACATTGAGAATAGCCTTGCCAGACCTGTCACATGATTTTGGCACAAATCTTACTACAGCCCACATCATCACAAATCTGTAAGATTCTGCCCAATCTACTGTAAAAAGATTTAAGTGGAGAAGAGTTAATTTCAGTAAGTTCAGGATGGATCTGTCCTGCATAAATTGGGACCAAGTGGACCCAAATATCTATAGATTAACCTGTAATAGAATATTAAACTGCGTTTAAAGAGAGAATGGTTTAGATTTCATCAGGGGTATGTTTTCACAACTGGAAAAGGTAGGGTAGCCAAAACTCATGGTGCACAGATGTGGAAAGAAATTGTGAACAAGAGGATGCAAAACAGGGTATGCATGAGAGATAGTAGGTTAATTATACAAATGTAAAACACGCTGAATAAAACAAAATTCAGAAATGAAATGTAAAAACAAATAAGAGAAGCAAAAAGATATATGAGAAGAGATTGGCAGTCAATGTAAAAGGTTGAAAGCCTTCCGTCGGATTACAAATAGTAAAAAGGAGATGAAGGGCAACATTGTGGTACTGACACAATTCTGAAGAAGGGTCACTAAACCGGAAATGTTGACTCTGTTTTCTCTCCATAGATGCTGGCAGACCTGTTGAGTTTCTCCAGCAATTTCTGCTTTTGTCTGAGATACTAAATGATTACATCTGTCTTCACCCGGGAAGAAGATGCTGCCAAATTCATAGCAGAAATAGACATAACTGAAATAGTGGAAAGTGAAAAATTGATGTGAAAGAAAAATTAGAAAGGCTTTGTAAGAATTGGTAAGTCACCAGTTGCTTCCAAGGATGTTGAAGGAGGTAAGAGTAGAAATGGTAGAGGTGTTGACCATAATTTTCTAAACCTCCTTCGATTGAATAGGGTTTGTACCAGAGAATGAGAGGACTGTAAATGTTGCAACTTTGTTTAAACCCAGCAACTATGGGTCAATGTATCCAACTTATGTCCCATGAATGAATTTTTGAAAAGACTAATTAGTTTAATGTTGATGCCAGGAATACTCTAAGAAATGAAAATCTGGTCAAAATTAACACTTACTTGGACAAATATAGATTAATTAAGGGATTTAAAAATTGCTAAGTTCACATCATTTTCATTAGGTAAAAGAAAGGGGTGATGAGGTGTGTATTGCATGGTCTTCCAAAAGATGTTTGATAAAACACCTCTTTAAGCTTGTGTTATCTGTAAACAGTATGTAAATAATTCTACTTTTTGTTGTTACTTTTGCAGAATAAACTTCTGCTTTATTATTAAAGTCGTATCTGCAGCGTTCGTTGCATCTCTTTGAAAAAAAAAACTATCGAGCCAGATTTCAGACTTGTGCAGTCATGGCCTCATTAGAATTAGCATTAGAATTAGACTTTATTGTCAAGTGTACTCAAGTACAGGAGCACAGTGAAAAGTCTACGATGTCACCATTCGTGGTGCCATTTAGGTACAAAGGTACCTAGGTACAAAATGTCAGGTGCAAAGTAGGAAAATAAGGAAATATAGTGAAAAGTTCAACGTTAAAGTCCTTCTTAATATAAGGTCGAAACATAAAGAAACAAAATTAAAAGTTTAACATTGCAGTCCTTCTTAAGTGCCTAGCCACCCTAGGCTTGCACTCCCCACAAGGAAACAATCTCCTCCGCATATGGGCTCAATCTCCCCGAATTGGATACCACCACAGATGCTAGGAGACCTTTGGATGCCTGGTCCTGCCGCTGATGCAGATGCCAGGGAATTCTATCATTGCTGTGCTGG